CACATAGGAAAAAAATCTATTTGCAGGAAAAGGTGACAAATAAATATAATTAATTTTGCATTTTGCAATTCTTAAATTACTAATATTATAATGTTATTATTTGGGATCAAAGAATGTTTCAAAATCTACTGCTTTGGAAACTCATGCACTTCCAAACCAACATAATGGTTCTTTGCTTCTAGAAAAGGCAAGAATAACCATGCAAGATTCTTCCAAAAAAAAAAGTTACTAATAATGGTAACAAACATATAATTAATATAATGAAAATGATTTACTGGATGGCAAAAGAAAATGTTCCAATTTCCAAACTTCCAAGTCTTATTTATATTTTAAAACTTATAGAAATAGTGCACTCAATTTCATTTTCTAGTGTAGATTGTGAAAGAGGTTTTAGCAAACAGAATATTATCAAAATCAAAACAGATTTATGTAATGCAATGGAAAATGACATATTGCATTTAATAGTGACGGTTGGTTTAGAAGGTACTGGTTTATTTTGTTATGATTTTAGTGATGCTCTTAGTAATCTTCTTCAAAGTAAAAACAAAAGTATAAAATAAAGAAAATTCTTAAATTTGAAAAAAAATTTCCTTTTTTTAAATTTTCCTTCCGGAAAATTCTTAGCATTCAGGAGGGTTTTCCGGGGTTTTTAGACCCCTGGACTCTAGTCACAATAAAAGTTCGATTTGAAATCTCATACATCCATTTTTGGAAGTTTTATGTAACCGGTACGATTTTCGAAACATTTTTGTTAGAAAATTATCTCATTATTTTTTGCTTTTTCTACCTCTGTCAATTGGTCACAACATTGATGTAAGATGCCATCATTATGCGATTCAATACTTTTTGGTCTCTTTTCGTACGTTTTAAAGATTTGGAAAAAAAATTAAAGTTTTCGTACATTGTAATTTACCAAAAATAACATGGCTAGGACTCCTCCCCTAATATGATTGTTTGGGTCCTGCGTAATTTAATAGAAACAAGATTCGGATACTTTCTTCCAGGGAGTGTAGTTTAAAGGCCCAAATTTTGTAAATCTACTACATCAAAAATCCGCTCGTGTCAACAAGGTCTCAAATAGACGAACATAAGTTCTGTCCTGAACACATTGATATTGAGCGCCCTTTTTTATCATAGAGACTCTTTTTCGATGGAAAAGATAAGAGTTTTTCTGACGGAAATACATTTCACGAATTCAAACCGGTTAATTAAGTGTTACTTAAACAACATAATAATAATGAATCAATGAATTCATTATCTCATTCTAAATTCTGTTTAAAAGAGAGAATAATAAAAAACTGTCCTTGTTCTTGTCTTTTGATTCTTGATTTGTAATTTTATAATGACAATAAACCTATCCTCAACGATGAAGTAATAAAAAGGACTAGCCTTCATATTAATCACATGCATAATTATTTTCTGTTATTTTATATTTTTCATTATTCTTTTTTATTCTTTTTTTTTTTAGCAAGATATTAAGAACGGACAACATAGAGTGAAATCTAATGAGAGAATTTTTAACTGGTGAGTGGCTCTAGATGGACGTAAAATGAAACTTAGATAGAGAATTGTATAGTTTCGAAAATGAGACATAAATATATTAATAAATTATTCACACTAAATTATTATCATCATTTGTGACTCAGTTTAATATTAATATTTATTGTCAATTTCCACAATTTCCTTTTTTTATGTTAGGGAACAATCTGTATTTCCATGATATTTAATCAAATATTATAGGAAATTTCGTGGGGATGATCTTTATATGGGGCATACTGCAAAAAATCGGACAAAGTGAACATTTGTATTTCAGGGTTTAAAATTTTGTGATCTAAATTTTTATATTGCAAGATCGTGTCCGAGTCTTGGTGATGATAATATATTTAAAGTCAATACTAATACAATAATACAATTTCTTCCCATTTATTTATACTAAATCGTAACAATTTCCGCGAATGTACATTTATGCTTTACTATCAAAACCATCCTTCTTTGTCGTTAAACAATTCCTTGTTAAGCAAATACTAAACAATATCTTCTTTAGATTCCGCACTATATTCTGATAACGTTTCTTGAGAGTACCCTTCACGCTGTTACTCCCTTACTGAAGTCAGGTACTTCGCTAAATAAAATATTACCTATTAAAAGAAAAGATAAATATAAAACAAGAGAAAATTAATTTATGCACGGATCAGTATGAATTCATTGGAGATGGGTTTATTATCAATACAAAAATATAAAATTTCAAAGACAACAAGGACAAGGATAAGAACAGTTTGTTATTTGTTAAATAATTATTGTTAGGAACTTTTTATGATAATGATAATGATGGTGATAATGATACACAAAGTCAAGAAAGTTACAACGTCATTTAATGGTCCAATAAGCTCTTTGATTTCCCGAGAATTCTAATTAAATTTATTCCTTAAACATAATTTGAATCTTCCGTGTAAAATCATTCTCGAGTTATTTTTAGAGTGAACAGATGATTTAAATTCCTTCGTTTGAATAGAATTTGGGTAGTATTACAATAATCTTCCTCGATAATTTCCGTGAGTTAATTATTTTATTGGTTTATTACATTGATTGAGCAACGCTAACAAATATGGCTGGTTTGAATTCTTGAAGTATTATCATTATTAATATAATAATATAATAAATAATAAATAATAATAATAAATAATAATAATAAATAATAATAATAAATAATAAATAATAATAATAATAATAAAATATTTCCGTGTTTTTTCCCGTTTCTTTTCGTGCAACTTTTGTAAATCATTTCCGATTTATTCATTGATCCATAAAATCACTATTACTAATTTAATTCTGACCTTCCATTATTTCATAACATAATTTAAATTTGTGATGATTGTAATTAGTCTTCTAATAAAAGAAAAAGGTAGTGGATTATTCTTCAATGTTAATAATTGTCATTAGAGACCATTATAATTAAACCCGTGCTCAACCCAGACTCGCATCAAATCATAATTTCTAAACCCGGACCCATACCAGCCCGGTTTATAAAAGATCAAAAAAAGTTTATTTTTTTCATTACTTATAAATAAAATAACATTTATTAAGATGCACCTCACAACACAAGTACACTGTCCACTGTTTGTAGATTCAAAGCTGATTGATGGTTAATCCTGCTGCACTAAATTCCCTCTCTAGAAGATGGGACTGAAAGATAATTAGCACTTAATATTGCAGGCTTTGGATATTGGAGTTGATGATATTTACACCATTGTAATATAACCAAATCCATATCCTTTTGTATTTTCAATAATGAATACTGACCAATCTCATCTGTATTATTTTCATCCTCACCACTTGAATTGTAATATTGACTAATAAATAATTATTTACAAAAAACATTATTGTATGATACAATCAATTTTTTGCACTGTAAATGAGTACAAGTATCAACAACCCAAGTTGGGCCCCACCGCAGGCCTTTAATTGTCATATTGCATCATATAAAATGTATGATCTCTACCCACTCAAGCGTGCTTTAGATAAAAATTTTCCTGATTACCATTGAAACGAGGTAAATAAACAACATAATCCCACCTTATGTTGGAACATTATAAAAATATTACCAGTCCACCTGCTTTTAAGTGAAAAATCAAATAACAAATCCTTCAAAGATTTGTTACCAAATCTTATAATTTGGTTGATAACAAAAGGCTGAAGGTTGGTTTCTATAGATTCAGAACATATTCTTAATAAGGATGACTATAAAGATATTAGTTGATCCATGGTGGAGGATATCAAGCAGCATGCTAGTGAGTGAACAATTGAGCCAGAAGGCAAATTAACAATAGTCAAACTCAAGTTGTTTGCCAAAACTCCTCCAGGAATCAGTCAGCAGAGTTACACGTTAATTTTTTTGGCATTTGGGGGGTTTGGCAATTGGCGAGGCACACACTAATTGGCAAAGTTTTTGCAGTCACTAAGAAGTTTTGGAAAGCAGCCTTAAGTCAAACACAATTCAGACAAAAAGCATTATAAAAAAGGTTTGCTCTGCATGAGTGGCTAAAATCGAAGAAATATTGAAAGCAAAAAAGAAAAGCCAATGAACCAAATACAAATCTCCAAGTGATATATAATAGTGGACAAATTGCCTCTAGGAACCAAGGACTTTTCTTAGTTTAATTTACTGGCTGGGGAGGAGTACAACCAACAACTAGCCCAGTTAAAAAACAAATTGATTTAATTGATTTTAATCGACATAATCATGAAAACCTAGTTTGTTTATAACAAAAAACTTATTGAAAAAGGGGAAACTTCCAGTCATTTGCTTTAAAAATGTTGAAAAAATAGGCAAAATCTTTAATCAGAGAGAAGTTGATAATTTTCTTCTCGTAAAGTCATGGCTAGCTAATTCCTTCATGTAAAACAATTTTTCTTTTCAGCATTTCGTTCATAATCTTTTAAGTCAGAAAGGTATTTTTTAATGCGCAATGATATATATTATTGATACGTAGATGATTTCAACAATAATTTCAGGTTAAATATATATATATATATATATATATAAGAATAATGATGTAAATGCATATAAATTTTTTTTGCCCGTGATTGGTAAAAAGAATTTATTCTTTACTTTGACCTTATTGAAAAAAATAAAAGCATCAAACTTGATAACGACAATTATTGTGCGTTATTACCAAATAACGAGTAAAGGAATAATTACTTCAAACTCTATATTACTTAATAATTTGAAATTTCTTGTATATACAAATAAAAAAATGTATAATTGTCTATAATGATAATTATATAAAAAATGTAATAAAATCTATAAATAAAAAAAGGAAAAAATGATATAAAAAGTGAAAAATTGAATGTCTATAATGTCTATACAAAAAAAAATGATTTTTTTACACACATTGATTAAAATCTAATGTATTTGAAGAAAAAAATGTCTTTAAATAATATACATTAATTAAAATGGTATAAATAAAGATGATGTCAATAATAAAACGAAGAAATGGTAGTTATTCACCAACTAATTTAAATTCTACACCGTTAACTTTTACATTTTCTGAACTTTTAGATTGTTTTAATTTTTTACTAGTACTAGTATTATTACTACTGCTTTTATCTGCAGACTCGCTGTTGTTGTTGTTTTCTTTTCCTGATTCAATCATCGCTGCTTTTTTAGCCAATCTTCTAATTACACTACCTTTTAATTTGATTTTAAATGTTGCCTCCAAAAGTGGATCTGGTGTTAATAATTCATGTGGGATGTGTAATATAAATGATAAAATTTCCGAACTTGTTGGACAATTCTTAAGAATATGATCACGAACACAATCTAATATTGCCAATCCTACTCTAAAAAATAGGTTTGTGCCCTCAAAATAAAATATATCCCAAATTCGTAATACTGATGCCCACGGTAATGTCATTGTAAACAATGTCATAAACCATTGTGTCATATAAATTAATGGAATTATATCATTATCAATCTATATATATATGACAAAAGATATAATTAATTCATTAAGATTTCATATTATAAATGTAATATAAAAACTACAACAAAAATTTAATTACCAAATGTTGTGATAATTTAGGATCATGCTCAGCTAAAAGTTGTTCAAATACAAAAGCATCAATGCGTATTTGTGTTAAAGTAGGTGTATAATAGCCACTCATATATCCATCAATTGTAGCCACAAGAAGCCAAAATGTATCTTCTGCTGGCATTTGCATAAGCATCATTCCAACCAATCGTCCCATCCCCTGACAATATCCTATATCTGGATTATAGTGTGCATATGCTCTAAGAATATCATGAAGATCTTCTTGTCTGTAAAAAAAAATATAAATATAAATATATAAATATAAATATAATATAAATACAATACAAATATATATATAAATATATATTAAATAATTGTGATTTTTTACCCTGAACCTGTCTCTTTACGAAATTGAATGTGATCAGGATAACATCTGTTTATGTCTCTCTCAATCACATCATATATTGGGAGCTCAGGACGATTTCGAAGTTCCTATAAAAAGCATATAATATTGTAATATAATATATTAATAGAACATTCAAAAAATATTACATCAATAAATCAATCAAAAACTTACATCATAATATTTTGACTTTCTATACTTTTCAGCACCTGCCATAAATTGCCATGATTTTCCACGAACAGATTCTGGAACACCTAGGCGTACCAATTTTTTAATCTAACAATTAATAGATTAATTAAATTATTTATTGAGATATTATTATTATCGTTAATTATTAATTATTTATAATTATTATTAAATCAAATCATACTTTTCTTGAATCTCTTGCCATATTAGGATCCATAGTACCAAGAATAGCCAACCATTTAGCCTCACGTTCACGATATAATCGAATAACTCGTGTAGTTTTTTCCTCTGTACCGGGTGCTTGTATTCTAAAACATGAATATAATTTATAATTTATAATTTATAATTTATAATTTATAATTTATAATTTACAATTATTTACAATAAAAAGATTCTATATATTTGAAACATACATTCTTTTAATTCGATCAGCTCCTGGTGGGATTTCTTCTTCAGAAACATCATAAACAAAACCATATTCATCAATTGCAAGAATTTGATCTTTTTTCTTTTTTATGCTTTTAGATTCATTTGAATTTGCGGAATTATTGAATTCCTTTCTATCTATATACTCTGTCTCGTCATCAGTGGTAACATCACTTTCGTAAGCACTTAATGGTTCATTAGGTGTTTGAAGTGTTTGTGGTGCATAATCTATTTTAACAATCGGAATTGTTGTAGATTTTTTATTATTTTGGTATGAAATCTTGTTAGCATTATTGTTACTACTATTACTACTACTACTATTATTATTGTTGTTATTGTTGTTATTATTATTATTATTATTATTATTATTATTATTTATCGATGTTGGTATCGACGTTAGTGACTTGGATGTATTAGTGTAATCATTAATTTTGTTAATATTGTAACCATTAATTTTATTAAATGATTTTGATGATGACGATGATTCGATTCGATCTATAAATCTTTCAAATCTTTTGCCATCACTATTAGGTATTTCTCTTACCAAATCAATGCATCCTATTCTAAAAGGTGAAACATTCGGATCACTTAATTGTCGATTTTTACTTGAAGACCCATTTCTAATACGATTATTTATAAGCTCATCATCTTCAAAGAAATCATATTCTTCATTATCATCATCGTTGTTATTGAAAATATCTTTTGCTCTTGCTTTACCTTTCTTATTCTTTTTAGATAATGTTGATTTTTTTTTTTTTTTGATTTTAATTGGATCCTGACTTTCATATGAATTCTGAAATATAACTGGAAAATTGTAATCACCAAATCTACCCAACCTTCTACTATAATCATACATTGTTTCAACTTCATCGTCTGGCGTTGGATCTGGAAAATTTAAACTATTTTTATCATCGTCGTCCGCTCTTTCTGAAGATAATGATGAACGTGAGTTATTAGGTCCAGGCAACCAATATTTTCCTGACCCACCACCCGTAAATCTTAATCCGGCCATAATTCTTGCTGTCCGACTAGGGCCTATATATGCCATGCCTTCTGCTGGTTCAAATGTTCTATAATTGAATCTCGAGCCTCTGATTGTTTCTAATGTGTCTTCAAGAACATCTTTGAATCCCATACAATCTTTAAATGCATATCTGATTGGCATACGACCTGATCTATAGTTAGGATCAATATAATCTTTGAATGAAAATGCATACCAATGCGCTATTGATCCCATAACCATTTCAAACGTTATTAAAAAATCTTGAATTGATACAGAAATACCCTCGGCTGAGTCAGTTGTAGCTATATAAAAAAAAAGCAAATAATTAATATCCACCAATACACTATATATATATATATATATATATATATAAGTGAATATATGTAAAGTGCAATAATTAAATAATTATCAAAAAAGA